TGATAAAAGCGTCGTTAAACCCAACTCACTCACTCACTCACTACTACTACTACTACTACTACTACTTCCACTACTACCACTACTACTACTACTACTACTACTACTACTACTACTACTACAACTACAATCAGCACTAGTACAAAAACAACCAACATTTGTACTTTCAAATCTATTGAATTCAGCTAACAACTCCATTCATTCACTCCTCTCACTCACAACTGCTTCTATACTATTCTCACTACCACTATAATACTACTCTTTGTCCTGTCACTAATACTACTGGCTGTGGTCTCTGCTCTGTGACTAAGTACCTTACACTCTCCCTTCACACTCGAACAGAACAGGAATTGATAAATTATTAACACTGTGATGCTTTGATATAAAATCCATGATTTTCATCTTCAAAAATTATTTTCCTCCACACAATTCCTCATACAATGCAGGTCTTAAGCCATTACTGTTAAATTATTCTCATTACAGGAGGTTAGCAGTTAAACTTTTAAAATGAACACATTTATATTCAAGCACTGGAACATAGCCAGCTGTGTTGTAGCATGAATGAGAAGAATACTAGAACATCAATACAGCCAAGAAGATTTATTATCCAAATTGTGGTTACCCAACCAATTGGCCCAATTGCAAGCTCCATCATTAAGCTCCCTAACACTCCGTCATTTGAGATATCACCAGCCAGAGTTCTAGGTTACAGTTAAAACTGACCTGTGTCAGTCTGACACTTGAAACACAATTGACAAATAATTTCCTACTATTTTATTCTACAAATAAATAAGACTAAGTAATGTTCAAATCATATTGAATTTGTGACAAATTGTTTCTCAGATCAAGGGGCTATAGGTTTAAATGTCAATTATACAACAGTGATGGAACAATGGTAGGAGTGTTTAGTTCTTCCTTAAGTTGCTACTTGTTTCAGTTAGACCGTCAGCCTTGTGTCCTTGTTAACATAACGTAACACTTCAGTGAGAGCATTCTTCATTGTGATAGCACACAGTGTCTACCCAGAGAAGACCAAGATAATAAACTCATTGATTTCCACAACCACCATACAGTAAAACAGGGTGTCAGGGGACCCATGCCAAATGCAGAGAACCCAATGCGAGATTCCTATTGATTGATAGAAGCAATGGACAGACAGGGAGTAAGATGCTCTGCCGCGAGACGACTCCACTCCGCTAGACTACTCAACTGATAGACCACTCTACCACCAAACTCTGTCGAAGTCTGTCACGTGTGTGTGGCACAGAGATCTAACATAGCCGGCTTCCCGAGTGGAGATAGTCCATTGTAATGCGTGTTGCCAGTTTGTAACAATACTTGGCAGCTTATGCTCTGCTTCGGAGCGTGAGCTATCAATGACTTGAGAGGTAGCCAGTGCCATAGCATGTCTCTGGGTTGTTCCTATGTCAAGTCAGTGTTGGTTAACCCCCTTCTCTGGATATAGCTGCTTTTGGACAAGTACCTCCAGGTTTGTAAAGTTGTCTGTGTGTTGTAACTTTTGGATTTACTGTGCGGTCGTCAAAGGAGAAAGGTTTGTACGTTTGACATCACAACTTTTATAGTAGCATTTTGGTTAGGCTACTGTTTAACACTTTTCATGAATTTACCTATTTGATGTGGATGGAAATAGAAATATGATATTTCCAAATATTACAAAGACTATGTCAATAAATGGGTATTGATTTTGATGGGAGATGTTTGTTGATTTTTAACAAGTTTGAGTCGTATGTGTGATGGAGAGATCGGATGGCATTGTCACAGTGTGCAGGAAGGTTGTGTAAGGGACCCTCGTAATTGGATTTTAACAACCAATGGCTAACAGCTGTTTTGGGGCTTGTTAAACTAGTTTGCTGTTAAAACACTAGGAGTAGGTTGTGGCGACAGTTTTAGGATAGTCAGCTGTAGGGAAAGGTTGCCCATCCATTTCTGATTAGAAAAAAGCTTTTACACAGGATATTGACTCTCAAATGGGACTTTGTCACTTGACAGTTCTTAATCTATTTTTTGCATGTTGTTGTAACAGGATGGTAAGATGTCAGATGTCAGATATACTTTACTTATATATACCATGTTTCAAATTGGAAAGTGTTATACAATTTATATCAAATGTTCAAATGGATGTATTTTTTCATTCATGTCTAGGAGGGATTAATATAAAAGATATAATAAATTATAGTCTTGTGATGATGTACACCCTGTATCACCAGATCTTACAGAAAGGTTAAAGTATGTTAAAGAATAGAATCTGTAATGAAATATTACATTTATATGTTTCCAGCATAATTTGGTATCAGATATGAATATTATTAATTTGGTTTGTTTCCTTTTAAACTTAACATGATACAATATTTACATGATAGAATATTCTTATTGATTAATAGAGAATGGTGGAAAGAGCTTTCAAATACTGATGATTTCTGTTCAAATATGCAAGTAGCAGTATGGCGAACATTCATATAAAGGTATTCTTTATCAGCAGTGAGAAAATTACAATCTTTTTGTGATATTTGAAGATGTAAATCTTTAAAATTTATATTACCAAACCAAATAATCTGTTTTCATAAAGCATTTTTTATTGATGAATCTTGATATTAAAGTATAAACAATGAAAGGTCATATACTCAATGTGTGACATTACCCGAGTGATAAAGAAAAGAAATATGTTTTTTTATGCACCATTTTTTTCCATATCTATAATAAACAATTACCAGGGCATTTCACATGATGGATATTTTCACTGTTATTTTTATAACCTAATAACAAACTAGATGATAAAGGTTTCATAATATGAAATATATATTCACAGTTTCAGATTAGATCTTTTCCCATTCAAATCTAATGAGAACAATGGACAGGTTTCAGAGTGAAAAAATGTTACATTCCATGGAAGTCTGATCAATTTTGTGTGTCATTTATCGGAAGGTTATTGTGACTGAGAGAATTATAATATTTGATTCTAATCTGATTTTCATGTGAGAATTTTCTCAACTCACACGTTGATGCAGTCTCAGTTCAATAATTCAGTTAAATTTAAATCTGCTGCGTATAATTATAACATAACACTTAATATTTACTTCGGCTGAATCTGGTTGTATATTTAAGTTGTTTTAGTTGTAAAATCAATATACCAGTCACATTTCAATGACTCGATCAAGTCGTATCCTGAAGTAACTGACATACCTAGTAGAATATTCCAGATGTGTCTTTCAAGTGGTCCAAAACAGGAGACCATGAGGGACAAAATATTTCCACTGCACAATTAAACTGAGATTATTCTGTACATCTATTGCCATGACTGATTACAATTATTTCACTCTAATTATTATATATTTTAAAAAAATCATGGCTGTGTTAATGATCAGTGCATGGCTTCACAGATTCCTGCATAGACTTCACATGTGGTATTAATTCTGTGCAGTCGGCTGTCATCATAAATAGTGGCTAGCAAATGAATGTGTAAACTATGCCACAAATTCCTCCACTTCAAATGCAACTTTGGTCACAGCTAGAGCTTCATAGGAGTGTCGGATACATAGTACAGTACATATATCCTACGAAAAAAAGGTAGGACCACCCAATTCTTTCATATAGTTATTATCATGCCAAAAGTGATCCATAACTTTCTTTTAGTAGTATATATTAAAGCATTGAATTGTTGCAGTCACTTGTAACACAAATCAAATTTGTCAAACAATATCTGTTTTGCAGTGTTGGTTCAGCAAATACTGTATGGAAATATTTGTCAGGCAGTATCAGTTTGGCAGTGATGACACAGAAATATTTGTTTCGCAATATTTTCCCGGAAATATCAATTTGGCAATGTTGGTCCAGCAATGTTTGTTCTGAACTATCTGTTTGGCCAGATTTGTCAGGCAATATCTGTTCAGATGTATCCATTTGGCTGCATCTGTTATTGTTATAGTTTCATATACTCTTATTGATGCACCAGTAATAGTCTACATTTATTTTGCATGCTGAATTTGTCTGGACAAGATCCCCATGTAGTTTCATTGAGAAGGGAGCAAGCTCATTATGTTAATGGTACAGGTCATAATCTGTCAAGTCTCCTGTAACACACAATACTGCAGACATAGCATGAATAATTTGTGCACACATTCATTCATAATTTGTTAAAATATTTTTTTCAGTATTTCATGGAATTTGATATTTTTGAAAAGTGTTGCCATATTTATGATGTGAATGATGTTGGCAGTGCTCTGTTCTTTGTGCTGGCCACACTACACTAAATAATCCAGCAGTCATCTTGTAGAGTTGAATGTTACAAATTTGAAATGGCTCGACAACATCCCATTTTTTCTCACTGTTCTAACTGACACAGGTTCTCTCGCATCCAAGTAGGCAGGACCTCTTTATATGACTTCATGTGCTGCTGTTGAGGAGGAAGTACATTTTCTTTTCTTCAGATATTTCTTCAACAGCAGCCACCCCCATTATAATAAACACATTATCATCATCTGCCTGTGTCTGTGTTCTCCAACGGCCCGAGCCGGATCATAACCACTACCCCGGCTAAATTCAGTATATCCTAACTGATACAGCTTTATGAAAAAACCTGATTTAATTTGGCAGCGTATTCTCCAGTACTTACTCACCACACACTAATTATCATACCCCGATGTATGCCGCAATTACAATCCAATCTATCTGAACCTAAGCAATGAGTCCAGGCTCTCTCACACACATTCTTGTGTTTCCTTGTCCTTTCTGAAACATTTCACCAGCTTATTGCTGGCTCCCTGCAGTAGATAAGCCAGATCAGTCACTCTTTTGCACCTCTCCTTCTGTTGACATATCTCCCTCCCCTTTTTTCCTCTCTCTCTCTCTCCCCAATTCACTCTCTCTATTGATATAATTTTCTCCCACTGTTTCCCTTTCCAAGTGTCACTCTATTGAAATCACCCTCACACCCTCTCACTCGCAATCTATCCCTCTTGTGATATCACATTCACACCCCCTCCTACTGACTCGCTCTCTCTCTTTCTCTGCTACTTTTTCCCTCTCCCTCTCTCCCTTTCCTTTCTTCCCTCTCTCCCTCTCTTTCTCTCTCCTCTCCCTCTCTCTCCCAACCTCTCCCACTCTCATATAACCGTCAGTCTCTCTCTCACACACTATAGATATCCCCCCTCTTTGATCCATCACTCTTACATTCTCCATTTCTGATCACTCTCTCTATCACTTTCACACTCTCTGACTCTTACGCTCACCCTCTCTCCAGCACTGTGTTATGCTCAGCACCTCTCCTCTGTGGAAGCCAGCCTGGCTAACAATCTTTGTGACAGTACAATACTGGGGTACTGTATCCATGCTGAAGACAGATGGATGGCATGATCACAATGTCTGACTCCAGGTCTCTTGTGATGCTCACTAAATATACAAATTTCAAATCATCCTGACTTACAATGTCCCAGTGCTGTAGTGGAGAATGAGAGTAACCGGTTATGAGTTTGTGTATTCTTCGGACACTACTGTATTTGGTTTTCAGAACAGAACTAATGTTTGGAACTTCAATAATATCATATGTTTGTTGTTAGGTTTAATTAGAATGTGTGTTGATGGATACAATGCCATATATTATCATGATGTGTGAATTGATGTGATATGTGACACCACTAGAGCTAGGTGACAGACAGCACAAATAGAGCTGTCACATCATCACAATGTGAGAATCTAGGTGACAGCACAACTAGAGTTGTCACATCATCACAATGTGAGAATCTAGGTGACAGCACAACTAGAGTTGTCACATCTTCACAATGTGAGAATCTAGGTGACAGACAGCACAACTAGAGTTGTCACATTATCACAATGTGAGAATCTAGGTGACAGACAGCACAACTGGAGCTGTCACATTATCACGATGTGAGAATCTAGGTGACAGACAAAATAACTAGAACTGTCACATTATCATGATGTGAGAATCTAGATGACAGACATGACAACTCGACTTGTCACATTTTCCTGATTTGAGAATGTAGGTGACAGACAAAATAACTAGAATTGTCACATTATCACGATGTGAGAATCTAGATGACAGACAACACAACTGGAGCTGTCACATTATCACGATGTGAGAATCTAGGTGACAGACTTGCCTTTCAAGTATTGATTGTTTAATCGGTGTGGTAATTGTCCATTGTCTTAAACGTGTTTCCAGTGATCAGTTAGTCAGCAAAGCAGAACAGTACATTTATGAATATTTTACAACTGTTAGCCATTGCTTTCTTGTCTCATTTCAGATTTATATATACATACCATAAGTAGTTCTCAAGTTGATTTTTAACTCAGTGTGAAGTACTTTATGGATTTCCCCTTGAAGATCCAGGTTAGAATTGGTCTTCAGCAATCCATGATTGTCATAAGATGCAACTAACAAGATTGGTGGGTCCGGCTCGATGACTTGGTTGATGCATGTCATCGAATCCCATTTGTGTAGATAGATGCTCATGATGTCAGTGACTAGACTGTCTTATCCAGACTTGATTGTTTACAGACTACAGTCTTATGATTGGAATAATGCAGAGTGTGGTATTAAACAATAAACAAACAAACAACTTTATAGATGGTTCCACTGTACTATGGTTTTGATATGATGTTAGTGAACACATTGAGATTATGTGATTAGATTCTGCATGATTTGGGTGGCTCAGTCATCTAGGTCATCTGAGTGGTGCTGTGTCACTTGCATTCAAGAAGTCTAGGGCAATAGTTCCTATCCCAGATCGCCCTGATTGTGATTATTGGTTTGCCACCACCATGTTCATGGGTGTCAAGAAAGTGATAAATGTCTAAAACATCCTCCCCTGACAATTGAAATACTGTTTAAAGCAAAATTTACTTATATATCCCCTCCAAAAACAAACACATATGTGGTTTCAAGAGATTCTTTTGGTGGCTTCTACAAGGCCTTAAAGTGATACGTGGGATGTGTGTGTGTGGAAGATTACAATTGAAACATTAAAATTGACGTCATCACACATTATTGAAGGAGTCTTTGCATTTGCCGATTATGTCACTGTCTCAAGCACGTTAGTCATGAAGCCTAGTACTGTATGTCCACCATTGGCCTGAATGACTGCAAGACACCTCCTACCCATGGAATCAAGAAGGATGCTGGTGACACCTTGTGGAATGGTAATTAACCCATTCTTCCTGAAGAGATTGGCATAAGCCCTGTAGCTTCTTGATGGCCATGGGTCCTGTGTAGGGACAAGTATTTTCATGCTGAAAAATGTTCCCTGATTCCTCCGACGAATCTGTTCTTGTCCGGTATAGCACTCTTTCTGCCGCCAATATGTACACCTGGATCCACCTATATGAAGCAGGAAAGGGTATTTGTCACTAAACCAAATGCTATGCCAACTTTGGAAAAGCCACTAATAATGTAATCAACACCACAGCAGCCACTGAAGTCAATTACAGTTGATAAGTAATGCCAGTGTAGCTAGGGCCTTCTTGCTTGGATTTGTGCAGCTGGTAAACAGTTATGGAGAGTTGTGTGCAGATATGGATGTAAACCAGGAACTTTGCAGTGTATGTCACAGTTAGTGTCCTGTTTTGAAGGTGAAGGCCCTGGATGTAGTGATCCTCGGCTGCTGTGATGATGCGGATTCTCACTGATCATGAACAGTCTCTAGTGATGCCATCTTGAAATTCCTTGCCACTGATGCTTGTGATTCAACAGCTTCAGCTCTACCAATAGCGTTATTTCTCACCTTATTATTCAGTCCTGGCATGACGATTCTCAAAATTCCCTCGTTATCTGAATGATTTGAAACAAAGACTAGACATAGGTCACGGACTAGAAACAGGACACACCTAGAAACAGGGCACAGGCTGGACACAGACTAGACACAGAACACAGACTAGAAACAGGACACATACTGGACACAGGGTGGACACAGGCCGGACACAGGCCGGACACAGATTGGACACAGGCTGGACACAAACTAGACACAGGGCTCAGGCTGGACACAGACTAGACAAAGGATGCAGACAGGACCCAGGCTAGACACACCATAGAATAGGCACAGGACACAGACTGGACACAGGGCACAGACTGGACTCAGACTAGGAACAGGACACAGGCTGGAGACTGGACACAGGACACAGGCTGGACACAGACTAGGAACAGGACACACCTAGAAACACGACATAGGCTGGACACAGGCTAAACACAGGACACAGACTAGGAACAGGACACATGCTGGACACAGGACACAGACTAGGAACAGGACACAGGCTGGACACAGACTAGACACAGAACACAGACTAGAAACAAGACACATACAGGACACATACAGGACACAGGGTGGACACAGGCCGGACACAGATTGGACACAGGCTGGACACAAACTAGACACAGGGCTCAGGCTGGACACAGACTAGACAAAGGATGCAGACAGGACACATGACACAGGCTAGACACACCACAGAATAGACACAGGGCACAGACTGGACACAGGAAACAGGACACAGGCTGGAGACTGGACACAGGACACAGACTAGGAACAGGACACACCTAGAAACAGGACACAGGCTGGACACAGGCTAGACACAGGACACAGACTAGGAACAGGACACACCTAGAAACTGGACACAGGCTAGACACAGGACAGAGACTAGGAACAGGACACACCTAGAAACAGGACACAGGCTAGACACAGGACACAGACTAGGAACAGGACACACCTAGAAACAGGACACAGGCTGGACACAGGCTAGACACAGGACACAGACTAGGAACAGGACACACCTAGAAACAGGACACAGACTAGACACAGGACACAGACTAGGAACAGGACACACCTAGAAACAGGACACAGGCTGGACACAGACTAGACACAGAACACAGACTAGAAACAGGACACATACTGGACACAGGGTGGACACAGTCATGCACAATGGGAATATAATGTAACAGGTATCTTGATTTGATATTTTAACTGTAATATATCTCTTTCAACGTATCTTTAACAGTAGAAAATGTTTCACTAAATATTTCAGTGTCACTTTATCAAAAATAACATTGGAATGTTTTACAGATGACAAACTTGAATCTTATTTTCTAATGATATCATTATTAGTTGCCTCGTTTACAATTTACTGCCATTTTGGTGTGATTGTGTTTGGCTACAACAACAACAACAACGACGATGATGACGATGATGATGATGATGATGAAGATGATGATGAAGATGATGATCTGCCAAATCCACACCCTAATGCATGCTTAAAGTGCTACATTATTACCCTGGTCAATGGATCAGTGTGCACTCGATTTTTATTCTCAGCTCCCTGGGGAGTATGCAACTCCAGCTTCTAGCTAAGGTGCTAAAAGGTTAACATTGGGTAGGCTAATGGTTTACTCATCATGCCCAGGGCCATGTTTTAATGGCCAACTTTGGTGACAATGCATGTGAAGCCCAACCTCGTTGTTCCAAACATGACTGGATTATTTGTGACCCTACTCTTACTCAAGTTTGAATGAAGTAAGGAAAAAAATAAGAATAATATACTCTTTATTATATCAAGAGGTGTTTTTTGTAGTTCCTTCCTGAGGTTTAGACTCAACAGTGAGATCCTTGAACCATATACACAAGTATATTATATTTTGGTACACATTATTTCTCTATTTTCTGTTAATTGTACCAATACCTCTGTGAAGATCTGGGTTAGAACTGGTCTTCAGACACCCATTCCAGTTGTAAGAGGAGACTAATGGGATCGGGTGCTCAGGCTTGCTGACTGAAGTTATTGTAAGTCGACCTGAGAAGATCTGGGGTAGAATAGGTCTTCATCAACCCATGCTTGCTGTAAAAGGCGACTATGCTTGTCGTAAGAGGCGACTAACGGGATCAGGTGGTCAGGCTCGCAGACTTGGATGATTCATGTCATCGTATCCCCATTGCGTGGTTCCATGCTCATGATGTCAGTCACTGGATTATCTGGTCCAGACATGATTATTTACAAACTGCAATCATAAAGCTGGAATATTGCTGAGAGCAGCTTTAAACAACAAACAAACAAACAAACATTACAATTCATCGTATTACAATTGTGTGGATTGATGCTCATGGTGTCAATCACTGGATTGTCTGGTCCAGACTCGATCATTTACAGATTGGCACTATTTTGCTGGAATACTGCTTAGTGCA